CAGTGCACGCTGGTTCTATTACGCGCCGGCAAATTACACATTTCTGGAGGCGTATCAAGTGCGTTTCAAGTACAGGTGTGCGAGTGAAATGAACCGCTACGGAGCGATAAAAATTCGCCTTCTCATACGTATCTCAAAGTTGAGTATACTGAAGAAACAATTCTGTCTTTATTCTTGCGATTAGACTCTATTGCGAACTTGCGAACCCAAAGTCGATGATATTTAAGCAACCATAAGTTACCAGAAGCTGACTGGTCTAAAATTAGATAAGGTGCAGTTAGAGTTTCGAAAAGAAAAAGGTAGACGTTGGGTACACGCCAACTATTTCGAGTCCCACAATAGCAATCTTATCGTTCGTTGCTCTCTCACGACATACCGTGGTGATGTTAATTCGCACGAAAGCCGTTGCGGATCGCTGAATTTCTAGTGTGGAAAGAATCCATCGTCGAAGGCAAAAATGTATTTTTAGTGCGAACCTATAGTATACTTTTCTTGCCAAATACTGGAGACTAATTTTAATTCTGGCACAGCGATATCACGTTGCATAATTCGCATCGTGTTGATCGCATAGTGGAAAGCTTTGAGTAATATTCAACGAGTTACGATATACAAATTATAGGCAATTTCCAGTACGTTGGAATTAACCGAAAGCAACATTTGTAGTAATTGCGGTCAATGCCGATTACATGATGATAAGTTGGCGCGTACGGAGTAAGAATTAGGAGAGACAAAAGCATTAATTATTCTCGGTTTGAGAAGGTAATAAAAGATTTCACCCTCTTGCAGAAACTTCATTTATTATTAGTCGAGTATCGGAGCAGACAACGCTGCAGGCGAGAGACTTTGTCTGGCAACCTTTGAGATTCGCTTTCGACGCGTCTAGCTGCCTCAATGTCGAAGCCAACTCGGTGCGAGATACTTGACGTTTGCATACCGATCGAGGACAAGTCGTGACGCGAATCGCGAACCGCGAACCGTTTTAATGACCTTTGTACGTTCACTCGCGCTTTCGCGATGCGGTGTGGCAAGCCCTTTGCTAAATCGAATATCTTTTAAAGAAAGATTGACATACTTTCTTCTTCTTTTCTTTTTTTCATAAAACGTCCATCAAATAAATGATTTCCCTAACTTTCGATACGCGGAAACTCCAGTTATCGAGTTGGAAACGACAGCTTTCGATTCCGCGGCTGAAGAAATTTCATCGAGTTCCGGTATATGAGGGATCTCTTGCAATCGCGTCCTCTCTCCTCTGCAGAAGAGTTGTCGTTTCCGCTCTACCGGTCGCGACTTGCCGACTTTCACAGAATCGATCGCTGCGATGTAAGATGTTGGCCAATACCATTAATGCGGTTCAGGTGCGAAGGATGGCTATCTTCTTTTTAGCCGAGATTTATTAACTCCCGTTACGAGCTCGAGATTGATAATATTGTTGCCTCATGATTTCTTTGATAAAAGAGATGGATAGATTTGGTATGCGTTGCATCGTAAGGATAATTACTCGTTTATGCACACGATATCCGTCGATATGGTCAAGCACTCGTCATTAATATCCATGAGTCGAAGCGTATCCGGTTGTACGTTTTCGGCATCGAGTACGTACAACATTAATTTATGACTAGACGCTGTTTGCACCAACAATCGCAAGTGTACGAATGAATAAAGAAATGAGTGCAATAGTTGGACGCAACATCAACAATCGCCGGGAAATCTTTCCATCTAATTGTATAAGTGGGCTGGCAAATCGCTATGCGAGGTGCAGCGTAGCGCATAACATGCGCCATTATGGACGGTACAAAGAGACGAGCCGTGGATCTAAATTGGTTTCGTCCATCGTTGATCCGTTTCTACGTATAAGTTGCGGTGCACGTGTACTATACTCGTCGCGAATTCACTCGGAACGCGAGCAAACCAAGTAGAAAAGAAATAGCTGCTTGCAATGAGTTGCTAATGAAATGAAATCATTTTTGTCGCAATATACATCTCGTTGCCTTTCGCTTCTGATCGCGACACCGGACACTAGTCTTGCGAGAATCACCGCGCGCGAAATTGAAGTCTCGTCAAAGGGGCCCCGCCTTAATTCAGGCCCGAGCGAGTCCGCGTCGCCTCGGCTGTCGGCTGCATCCCGATTTCGCGGTTTTGTAACAGATTCGCGACCGGCATTATGCAATTTCAATTCTCCCCGACTGGCCATTTGCAAAACTTGGTAAAATGACTGCCATTTAGATGTTACTTGCTCAATTTGGAACTTGAGGGGATTTGAAAAGTAATGCTCGGTATATAACCTCGGCAAAAATTGACGCGTCAAGTTTGCTTACCGGAGTGGTCGTTGCTTCTCATTTTCTTAGCGAACGAAGGAGCACGTTTATACACACGAAGCACTTTTCGGAGAATCTCGTTGGCGCGATAATCTGCACCCTTCGAAGAAATTCCGTCTGCGCGCGTCACAACGAAGCGCACTCGCTTCAACAACTTTGACAATTATATAGACGTGCAAAGGACGATCGCCACCCGAAAAATAGAAATCTAAATTGATTCAACACTGGCACACCGTTGATAATGAGTTGTATTTCTTGATAGATGTCACTAAACAACTTAATACCGACTTCTTATCGACAGAATTTTCTAATACCGACAGAGTCGGAATAATCAAGTATATACGTTGCAAAAGTGGTCGCTTGGTCGATTGGTCGATCGAGCCGAGATCTCGAAACTCTCGAAAGTCGAATGATGGCGGCGCGGCGGCGCAGTGTGTGTGTGAGCGCTGCGACTGCTCGGTGAGTGAGTGCGCTACGTGCGCTGTGTGTTTGTTTCATTCTCAGTGCGTGCGAAGCCGTCGGAAACATGACGCAAGAGAGCCAGTAAGTATACTAGGATTGACATCAATTAGAACTCGCCAACGAGCTCGGTGATGGTCCGCGTACAGTTACGGCCAGCTACTGCGGACCGCCGCAGACGCGCGAGTGCCGCCCCGTGTTTTTCGGATCATCGCCATGTTGGGGGGGACGACGGTTTTATTGATTCTCCAACTTTTCTCCAACGAGATACCACTCGATCGCAGCGATATCACGTATCCCTCGAGCGAACAGCTTCTTCACGGCGCTCCTGGCTCCGTTTTGCGTCCTTCCATCCTTCCTTCCTTCCTTTCTTTCTAGCTTCTCTCTCTCTCTCTCTCTCTCTCTCTCTCTCTCCCTCTCCCTCCCCTCTTCCCCCTCTCACTCTCTCTCGTGAGGCTCCGATCGAACGGTCGAATGGCGTGCCGGAGCACCACGGAGCTCCGATGACTCTCGTTTCTTGCCAATGCCCTCGCATCATCAACTCGCAACCATCAGTTTTTCTCGCGGCGAGTCACATTTGTACTCACACGGAGCGGCAACTTTTCATCTCTTTCGAGCTTTTGCCCCTAACCTATAAGGGTACAACAGGTCCTCTATACATATCTTCTTCCTAGGATACCTCCTCCACCAGTCATGTGGGCGCAAAGAAAAGATATCTTATATGTTACCATCTGCTTAGAAGATTGTAAAGATCCAGTCATCGAAATTGAACCAGAAAAGATACACTTCAAGGGAGAGGGAGGCACGGACAAAAAGATGCATGAGGTTACGATTAATCTGTACAAAGAAATTGAGGCCAGCAAAACGGTAAAAAATTTGAAGGGCAGGACTTTTGAATTGGTTCTCGCTAAGAAGGAGGAGGGACCATATTGGCCACGGCTAATTAAAGAGAAAACAAAGGCTCACTGGTTAAAGAGCGACTTTAACAAATGGAAGGATGAGGACGATACCGACGATGAAGGTAGCCCGCCAGATTTAGAAGAGGTATTGTATTCATTATGTATATTCCTAAGCTTATTTCTCCATTCATTTATCTTTATTTATTGCCCCCTGCAGATGATGCGACAAATGGGCGGTCTAAGCGGTTCTGGTGACAGTAAGCCAAATTTCGACGACCTGGACGAATTAGGGGACAACGAGGCCGACAGCGACGATGAAGATCTTCCCGATTTATACGACTAAATTGATAAAAATAATCACACACACACGATCGAGTAATTAATTACATTAAAGACAAATGGCAACCTAAGGATAGTGCACGATTGGGCAATATTTCAGTAGGCCTTGCTGTTTGTATCTTCAATTGCAAATTTGTTGAAATGGCCGTGTAACACACGGGACTAAAAAGGATAAAAGGAAGGATGCAGTGCGGAAACAGTCGACGAAGGGTCTCCACAGGTCTCTCCCGCCTCTCCCCCCCCCCCCCATTAGCCTGTAGTTGATATATTAAGTTGTAATGGACAAGCTTTTTTAATAATGTACTTGTGTAACTGTCGAGTAACACAAGATAAAAAGGGAAAAGAAATGAAAATAACCAAAATTATCTATGAGATGATTCATTTGGTAAAATCCTACAAAGCATTATTGGCAGATGACAAAATGTTATAAATGTCTAAGATAAAGGTATCGGTACTTAATTTACTCTCTCTCTCTCTCTTTCTCTCGATTGAATTCTCCGTCTCCTAAACACCTCCATTCTTTGCCAACGAGACTCGCGAGTGTGTTGACACATTTGAAACGCTAGTTTGTAAACTTGTGTGCTGACACTGGGTATCGCGTTATATTACTGGGTGTATCGTTTAACCAACGATACTGGACGCTCCACGTAGAGCGAGATATCCGGCCGTTATGTCCATCGGCAAACTGCGAACTGTTGCGAATTCTTCGGCAGTAGCGTAATATAATTTAGTTTGCGGATCCGTGTATCGTGCCTATAAATGAAATTTATGAATTTTCTTGCGTTTATCGAGTTAATTCGAGTTAATTCGAGTTAAATGATGCTCACCGGCAATCCGGAAATATCCGAGTATTTCTTGGCAGGTTTGAAGCTCGGCGGTGCATTGATGGAACTGTCTGAAATGTATGCAAAACTATTTCCTTTCTTTTTTCCCGTCTAATGTACAAGTGCAACGACGAGAGAAAATAAAAATTGTTAGTGTTACACTCGACGCATACAATGCTTAACTGTCGCTGGCCACGGTAACGAGCGCTCCTGAGCCAAAACTTGCTTCAACGACCGCCAAGTACGTTTCTTCCCAGTGGTGCTAGTCTGCCGGAATTTCTGTTGAAATGACCGGTTCTTAAATATGGGCTGTGGTCTTTTGTTGGCCTCGATTATTTCCTCGCTCGCCATCTCTCGATATTATCTCAAACAGATGTAAGACAGACGGGGTAACGTGGCAACTTGGTAGATTGGAGTAAATTTTGCAATGTTATGTTGGTCGATAAGAACGACATCGACTCGTAGCGAGCTACTGCTCCGACATTCTTTCGCTCGTATATATCGTAAGTATTTGGTTACGATGAGTTCTGTTGAGCGAGTACGATGGACTAACCTAACCCTAACGTATCCTAACCTAATCTCAGCGGGCGGTGGAATCTGGAGAGTCACCTTGACGCGCGCGCGCCAAGGTCGAAAGTCGAAAGAGTAGAGATTAGGTTCGCGTAAGTAGGTAACAGGAGATTGCTCCGTTGCAGGCTGCGAGCTGAAACCATTGTCACGAGACGTGCATACGAGAAGAATGGGACGCAGATTCTTCGTTGGCGGTAACTGGAAGATGAATGGCACCAAGAGCGAGATCGATGACATTGTCGCGTTCCTCAAGACCGGTCCTCTCGATCCTAATGCCGGTACGTCAATTATCAAGTTGATTGAATAACTCGATCAATAACACTTGGCAATTTGTAGAGGTTGTAGTTGGCGTTCCGTCGATATATCTCACCTACGTGGCTTCCATCGTTCCCAGCAACGTTAGCGTGAGTGCGCAGAACGCGTACAAAGTTGCCAAAGGAGCGTTCACCGGTGAAATTAGTCCGGGTATGCTTCTCGACAATGGCGTTCCCTGGGTAATTCTTGGCCACTCGGAGCGTCGAAACGTCTTTGGCGAAACGGACGAGTTGATTGCAGAGAAAGTTGCGCATGCTTTGGAAGCTGGACTGAAGGTAAACTGCCAAGGAGAGGAGAGGGAGAGGGAGAGAGAAAGGGGGAAACGAATTAAATGTGTTTTCCTCCAGGTGATTGCGTGTATAGGCGAGAAATTGGAGGAGCGTGAAGCCGGAAAGACTGAACAAGTTGTTTACAGACAAACCAAGGCGATAGCGGATAAAATTAAATCGTGGGACAACGTGGTCCTGGCTTACGAACCAGTATGGGCGATCGGTACGGGTAAGACCGCGACGCCGCAGCAAGCGCAAGAGGTTCATGAAAAGTTACGCGAGTGGCTGACCAAGAATGTCAAGCCTGATGTCGCGCAGACTCTTCGAATTATCTACGGTGGCTCCGTAACAGCAGCTAACGCGAAAGACCTGGGGAAAGAGAAGGATATCGATGGCTTCTTGGTCGGCGGCGCGTCCTTGAAGCCCGACTTTGTACAAATCGTCAATGCTCGTGCTTGTTGAAACTACATGACATTTAGTCGGATACGTCACATAATCCACCGCCAATATACTTCCGGTACTCGTCAGTCAGTGACCTTAATCTTTATCTGTCTGATTTGTAGTCTGGTTTATTAAATGCAAATTCAGAAACGGATGAAACTCTCTTTATTCCACCTAGCCAAGAGAATTATTTAATCAAACCCCTTACAATAACACTCTTTGGTACTTGGATGTCCATAGTAGTTTTGAGATGGTCTTGCTTCGCTCTCGCACACGCGATATCGGTAATGGCTTTGAAAGATCGAGGCTCCCAGATTGCCAAGTCGGCCAGTGACTTTCGATTCAGTAGTACATTACATCTCGTTAATCCTTCTTTAAGGGTTGTGAAATTAATACCATGTTCTGTCGAGGCAGCTTCTATCCTCTGCTCCCGCAACTAAAAACGGAGAGGCAATTGTGCAAAGGCAAAATTCTGTTATTCTTAACTCGAGAAATCTCTCACCGTACCTCTTTCATATCTTCCTTTTTCAGTTTCCTACCTCGAGTGCAATATATCAGAGCTCTATGTACGTTTCTGATAGCTATACTGTAACAATTTCTTCTTCTACCGATGTAATGCTAAAAACGTGTTGAAAGTTTATAGTCTTGTCGAGCACAGTTACGCTTCGCTAAGATCAAATCCACACTTACAGCGGCAAGCTTGAATATTTTCCGTTTTCGCCAGAATTCATTAGGCCCGCGGGCTCTGGTTAAAAGGTTCAACGACAAGAAAACCATGCTTGATTCCGAATCGACTCTTTTTCCAAAACTGCACATACGAGTATCAGGTTAGGTTAAGCTCTAGGTTAGGGTCAGCCTTAAATGGACCAATCAAAACACTCGTTTGTGCTTCCCGCCAAACATATTTGAAAAGCATCTTGTCAGGGATGAGGGATCAGGGAGAGAAAAATACAACAATGTCAAGCGAGACGATTAACAAGTTTATTATTAATCGCGTTGTCAATATGGCACCAAAACGAAATATGACTTTGATTGGGCGTCTCCTAGGCATTGAACGATCAATAAGGATGATTCGCTACACGATTTAATCTTAATATCACAATCCGAGAGACTTTTCCAACAGACTCGAGAGCTATCAGTCGTCTCCGGCAGAGACAAACTTTGCAACTGACGCAGTCAGCGAGGCAAAGAGTACGAACAAAAAGTTACAAGATCGGCGAGAAATGACGAATCACGATGGCTTGCAGGATGGAAATCTTTTAATACTAATGCATGAAATCGGCTTCCGCCACCTCCGTTTGCTTTGACCGTTCGCATTGCATTTGGCGTGATGGCTGTTACACGTAGTCTTTCGGTCCTCGCTAATGCGATCGAGCTCTTGAAGTCTTCGCTCTTCTAAAGAGAAGGAAAGGACGAAGTGTGAATCCGAGTTAATGAGACGGCGCAAAGAAGGTAAAGTGTACCATTCAGCTGATGTTCCGTATAGTATACGGGATTGTCGTCTACTCCGTAATGATGCTCGAGCAGGTACGGCAAGACGGTCATGCTGTGACATCCGTTGCTCTTAAGGGGAGGTATGGCTACTGGCTGTTGCGTTCTAGGGTGCTCGCACACGGTCCACGCGTGTCTCTTAACCTGCTGCAATGTAAATCTTTTATCGGCATCCTTCTGCAACATTCCCTCTATGAGCGACTTTAATGGCTCCTCCACTTCTTTCGGTACTGTATATTCACCCCTTCCAATGTTTTCGTACAACTTGTATATGTTATCTCCCTCGAAAGGATATAAACCCGTGGTTACGTTGTACCTGTTAAGAGCAAGAGAGTAATACACAAGAGTAACACTCGAGAGCGAGACGCTCTTACTTACAACGTAACTCCGCTACTCCATATGTCAACTTTAAAGCCTGAGAAACTTTCGCAGCCATTTGCGATCTCTGGTGGCTGAAACGCTGGAGATCCTTGACCTATCGTACATGTATCGTCTTTGGAAAACATGTCTAATGCCTAATACAGTGGAGATGCGTAATCACAAATAGGAAGGTTTTTATCTCCTTTTTCTTTTCTCTCTCTCTCTCTAATACCGCGAGATTAATAATTGAATTGATAACAAGTTTGTCATCGTTACCTCCGCGACACCAAAGTCACTAATCTTCAAGGTACCGTCTAGGGTTAACAATAAATTTCCAGGTTTTATATCTTTGTGAACTATCCCCTTACTGTAGAGATATTCTAAACCATCCAGCAATTGGCAGAAATAATCGTGTGCCTGCCAAAGCGGCAGCTTCTTGCTCGGCGTGCTCTCCAGCATGTCCTGTAAAGAGACGCAATTGTCCTCAACAATTCACTCGATTGGGAATACACATTATGAAAGCTCACCTGTAATCCACATACACAAAATTCCATAACTAGGTACATCTTCTCTTTCTCATCGCTGTACAAAACATCTACGAGATTTATTACATTCTTGTGCCTTAATATTCTTAACAATTTTATCTCCCTGTAAAACACCAATCGTTATTAACTAATAGTAGCTCAATAGCAGTTGGTCGAACGCACCGTTGAACATTCTGTTCGCCATTCGGTATCCTTCGAAGTTTCCTCTTCTTCAGTATCTTAACCGCTCTACGGCAAAGCGTCTGGGAATCTAGTACCTCCTTCACCTTGCCGTAACTACCCTCACCGAGAACATCACCCATGACATATTTCCCAATAAATTTACACTTTTTCCTCTTCTCCTCGTATATTATTTGATCCGAGTCGACTCTGTGAAAGAACATGTTAACCTCGTCCAAATCGTAGTTTGGATCGTCATTGATCCAGATGACCGGCTCGACATCGGGCAATATATCGTTCTCTACTTCCTCCTCGTCGGGGTCGCATATCGTTATTTTATTGTCCATTCTTACTCCGTCAGGGAGCTTATAAACTACAGGATCTATATAAAGAGATCACACACGAGTGATTTAACCTAAAATACAACCGGCACGATCATTGTTGTGAACACTGGTGGTGGGATTTCAGGGGATTTCAGGGGATTTGAGGGGATTCAGGGGATGCGCCAATGCGACTGCGAGGAAGCGCGACTGTTGCAACAGTGATTACTTTGCTTGTGTGTACCACACGCATTCTCTCTCACCCTTTTCATTCAGCATTCCTAAGAAACTTTTCATTGGCGATTACCAGCAGCCATGTCGACTTTCGATTGGTTGGCTGATGATGGGCGCACCCATCATCATGTGTGCTTTGAAAATCACCAATCATGAGCAGAAGAGCGGGTAGAAATCAAGTAATTGCAAGTTTAGCGAAACCAAGTAATCTTTATTGGCTCATAGGCTCGTAGGTCCATTTTGGAAAAACTCGTTTGTACAAATTCATCAATACTGTATCTTGAGACTTTAATTGGTTATTAAAGATGCACTTCATGTGTCCGTGTGTACCAAGCGGTTCCTTTATATGGCCTCTACGTCCATACTTGGTCCTCAATTGGATCGGTTTGAACCACTCGATATCTTGACGGTGAAAGAACATGAAACGCACTACCACTGACCTCTTATTTACCTTGTACGGGTGGCCACTCAAAACCACACGTTTTAGGATTATTCTGTTGGGATTACAAGACAACACGCTACCAGTCGCAATTAATTCCTGTCAAACAACATTTCACTATTACATAGGACATTACAAGACAACACGTCTCATACGATAGAGAATAGAGAATATACATACGAGCTCGCCACTTTTACTCTGGACGTAACACAGGACTGGACACGGTGAAAAGCTTACCGGTGCATACATACTCGCCACGACCGTACAGTCGGGCTGAAAGTATCTCTCGTACTAAACAAACACATTTGTCAATCTCTGAGGGTGCTGCTTTCTATCTCACAAATATTACTCTCACCTTATGCTTCGCACCGTTTGTATGTTGACTAAATACCGGACATGCCGCAAATCGCTTAAATCCACACTGAAAGATCAATCTTTCCTTCGACTCGATCGTCTTGTTGCTCGTGCGTTTCAACACGACGTTCAAAAGAGACATTTTATTCTCGTACGGGAGTAAAGCGAGCATTATTAACGGTTTGTCTTCTACCGTAGCAAATGCCTGGAAAGCTTCTCTGCTAACGTGGGCGACACAAACTTGTATGTAACACCCCGGCTGGAAATTGCAGGATTAATACTGATGCTTGTGAGAGAAAAGGATAAAGCACACGTACCACAACACCTTCGACATCCTTGCGTTCCTTGTAAATATGTTTCCGCCTGCGATCGTAGTCGGCGAATTCAATTATCCGCGCATAGTCACTCGGCAGATTTTCCTTCGGATCCCACGGACTAGTACGGAACGATTCGAGACCTCGATACTTTTCGAATCTTACTTTAGCCAAAATGTTTCGAGGTGTATCCACTTCGTCGGGAAATTGCGCGTCCAATTTCGCTTCTGTATGATTATGACCAAATTATTGCCAAACCGTAGACAATCTCAAAGACGCGGTACATTATTATTGAAGCGACCTTTGAACTTTTCCATGGCTTGCTTTTCTTCAGACATATCGATATCCTGATCGTAACGCTCCTCATCCAGTGGCGCTTCCGATATCGTAATAGTCTCATATTGTTCGTCTTCGCTACTAGCTGCTTCAGATCTCAGTACCTCTTCCACAGACATATTGTCATCCTCCGAACATGTACCGAGGCTCTCTAGAAATTTCAAAGTATTAAATCGAATTTCTCAAGAGGCAGGAATAGAGAAGAATACCTCCATCTTCATCCGGTATCCATGCCGCTTGATATTCAGAGGTTCCTTTCGGCACAACTTTTACTATTCTTTTACTTTTCTCTGCCGCTTCAGCTAGTTCCTCTTTCGTAGGCCACGTTTGTTCGGCATCCATTGGATCAGGCATACATTCACTTTCGAGGGATTCCTACAAACTTTGACTTTTATTTTTCATTCTACACGTGTGTCGATATGCACAATTTTCATCACTATTGCTATTAAGTCTTGTTAATATTAACACGTATATATAAAATATGTGAGGAACCTGTTTCTCTGGGTCTGCAGTGAAAATCCTTTCAGTTTTCATCTTGTCATCAACGTGATGAATTAAATAAGGATCTGCCAATGTTTTGATGCACGACATTTGAAAATTTCCCAAACCTGGTACATGAACCAGATCGTTGACCGATAATGGTGTTGTGCCTCGTAAATATCCACCAAGTAGAAGATTTCCAAACTCGAGGGAATCCTGACATAATAAGAATTGATAAAAATTTTCACAATTATAAATACAATAATTTTACATACTTGATCACATTCAAAGGAGGCTTGTTCGGCTAAAAGATATGGTCTCATATCTTTGTAAAATAAACTTGTTTGCTTTTGTGATCCGGCACGCCGTAACATATTTAAGCAATCGGTTGCACTGTCCAATTCAAGTACTTTTTCTTCAGGTAGCCATTTCGAGACTGCACGTTGCACAGATTGTTTATATTCTCGACGTTTCTATTACAAGACGTATCAATCAACGATCAACGAGTTGAACAAGTAGCATGGAATTGCCAAGTTACTTACCTTTACGTCAAGTTTTTGAATATTATGCACCGCAACTATTGCGGAAGATAAACCTTGAGCAAGGCAAGACACGACAATTTCCTTGCCCCAATCGTCTATAATTTCTCTTTGCATATCATTGACTTGACTCGTGACGCAAGTTACAAAGAGTATCGTGGTAGCAACTTTGGCTGCATCTAATGTCGCAAAAATGTCACCCGTCGGTGGCGTAACAATGGAAAAGCGCTGTTTTAGCCTTGGTACGCTAAATACATAAAATAGAAATATATATATATATATATTTATCAACTTGTTTCTTCTTTCGCAACGTACCCGATGTGAGTAATGCCATTCGGGCTAGTAGCAACACGAGCAGTTTCACCCATGCTAGTTACGGCAGATATCATGTTCTTCGTGTCGATGCCACTTTGCAACGGTATAACGCAGATGAGGACAGGCGCTGAAGAGAAGCCACCGAGATTTCTCTTTTGCATAAATACTTGCTCACGTTTCTTCTTTCTGTGTTGCAACAATTGATTTCTACGTGCTTCTTTTCCAAGAGTTTTCTCAAAACGTTTAGACGACTTTTCGATAGCATTCCGTTTACCTATGGAAGAAATAACTTTTATATTTCTGTAACAATGTCACGCCGCGTATAGATGTAATTAACCTTTCAGATCGTTATTGATGGCACTTTTACTTCGATGTCTTCCAGTCTTGTGTTGTTTATTAGACTGTTTGAGCGCACCTGGTCGATGCGTCTCTTGTTTCACCGTACTCATTGTGATCGGACGAGCTCTCGTTACTCACAACTGTCCGAAAAGATTAATATTAATCGCCACGTGGTAACGCACCCAAGTATTGGCAGTGCTACCAAACCACGGAGTAAAGAGAGAAAGAAAGGAAACCGGTGCGCCATGTTTATGCTCAATCCTATTTGTGTAGCAAGACGTATTTACAACATTTGTCATTTACCGAATGCAAAATGGGCGGATGTTGTTACCAATTTTGCAATAGAAACTGATTTTGCAATAGATTAGATTTCCCATCTAATATATGTATAATTCGTGTATTTGAAAATGAGCGGCAATAGCATAAACGTGGCGGACCAATCAGATACCACATGTGGCATTACTGGAGTATAGGAACATTAGCAATTAGGATTTAGGATCTCACACTGATCTCAGTAGAGGATCTCCCGAAAACTCCTGAATACGATGCTCGATTTTACGTACACCGCATGGTATATAACACGTAAAATTGTGTATCTCACATAAATACAGTTATTTCTTACCATTAACGTAAAATGCGTTGAACGACAAACGTAAGGAAGCATTACGAAAGAGTGCACCTACTGGTGAACGTGAGTAATGTGTCTACCGTCTGCTGACATCCGTTTTAGGTTATAACGCTTAAACGAGATTGCTCTCCCTCTCTCTTTCTCTCTCTCCCCCTCGCCCCCCTCTCTCTCTCTCTCTCTCTCTCTCTC